AAAAAAAAAAAAAAAAAAAAAATCGTCCCACCAACATCAAGGTCACACCTACCCTGAACTGTGATGACCTGCAGATTGCTTCTTCCTCACAATCCTAGACTCTGAAACCGTGATCAAGTCTAAGCCCTAAGCTCTAAACACTATATCTTGCCTAGACCCCCCGCAACTACAGTTTACTACCACCTAAATACCGAGGATGAGAGATCATCACGGCTTTCATCGCGGTATCTGGAGGGTACGCCAATGCCCACACGTATGTGGTGTTTCTTTTCTCCAGTGCCTGTGTTTCAAGAGCTGCATCCTGCAGCCAGGCTTGTGATGCACATCCGTTGAGGATTTCGCCAAGTCCTCGGCCTCTAATTCTAAGCGCTGTGAGCAACCAGTCCTGAACGACTCCCAAAATCCCCTGCCATGCAGGATTTGAAGAGGCTGCTTCAAATCGTGACGCTGTGAGGGTCCTGATTACGGTAAACTTCCTGCTTTTGTGGTTGCATCGGTAAGCCCCAAACCCTACAACCGGCACATTCCAGTTGCTTCGAGAGGCAAAAGTCGCACCATCGACTTTCGGGTGGTCTGGCTTCCTGTCGGGATGATGAGAAATATGATTTGTATGGTTGGTAATGTGAACATCCTTGTTAAAATTGCTTTCACTGTCACTGTTGCTATTCCAGAGGCTTCCAAAGCAAAAGCAACTTATGCATGATACTGCACCCACAGCCCTATTCTAATTAAGGGAACAATTTATGCACCAGGGTCAAGGAGCGAGCTGTGCGTTGGGAATTTCGTAACATAGGGGCTCGCTGCTTTATTTTGGGTGTGCTTCTACTGCAAAGGAGGTTCTGCAGCAATGCAAGTGTTCTTCAGCAGTCTTGAGCATTTTTTACTTCTGATTTGCAGTGCAGATGTGTCTGAGTTGCCCAAGCCCCAAAGACACGGTCTGCAAGGGATTCTGGACGACATGACTTGGTCCGTGAGGGTGGTTGATGCTGCTTTTGCTTCCGGCGATCAATGATGATTTGATACAAAGATGACAAAAGCCATGATGGCGATATTGCTTCTCCTCACGACAATGCTTCCAATCTTGGTTGCGGTGCTCATCTTCAACACTAATTCTAAGCCTGGGCTTTGGACAGGACGCACATCTTGCGATTTGTTTTCACTGGTCGCAAGCTTTGGTTTTTGATCTGGGGGACAGCATCGTCGCACTGTGCGACATCTCCACGACACCCAGACCTCTTCGAGGGACCCTGGGGCAGGATCTAAATGCGTCGAGATCTTCGCTAAACAGAGCACTTCGCTCACAGCTTCGCTGACAAGCCAAGACTCCCGCCGGCATGCAACAAAGCCGGGAGAACACTGTCTACAAATAGACAGTTCTAGGCTTGGCAAGACGTTAACGGATACGATCGAATCAATTCCGTCTGCCGGGCAAGCAAGATAAAACAAACAAAAACGTACCGTAATGGCAATATCTACAATACTAGATAAGGCATACGCGACCCTATAAATACTATACTATGCCACACGATACTAAACTATAATCCCAATGCCCTAGCCCTGAACCGTAGTCCCTGTACCCCAAGCCCTAAACTCCAATCCCCATACCCTAAGCACTAAACACTGCACAGCACTCAGACTACGTCATCTTCTTTAAAGGTGGCTGTACACATCTCGTCGTTGCTCACCTCCTCGGCACAGGTGGGATGGGCTTCTCGAGTAGAGAGTCCTTTAGGTGTAGAGTTTGGCGCTTTAGGTGTAGGGTGTGGCATTTCTAGTTTAGGGTTTGGGGTTTAGGGTTTAGGGTCTGGGGTTTCGGGTTTAGGGTCTGGGGTTTAGGGTTTACGTTTCAGGGATTTCACCCTAAGCCCTCAGCCCTAAACATCATGTCAACAACAGCTACGCTGCGGCACAACATCTCCAATCCCGTCCTGTCATCCACTGCTAGGGTCACTCAGAGGAAAGGCCTAACACATTGCCCCTAAACCCTAAACCCTAAACCGAGGTGCGCCAAAACCCTGACGAAGCGCATTCATTCTGACCAGCATGCCTAAAACCAAACAAAGGCCCTGAACTTGCGGTTTGGGGTTTAGGGTTTAGAGTTTAGGGTAACAAGCCGTCAAAAGTTCTGACGCGCTCTGCTTACAGTGCTGCTTCAGTGCAAAACTCACCGACCAAAAATAACCTAGACCCTGCAAGCCCTAAGCCTAATTAGGCCCTCAATCCTGAGCCCTTAACCCAACAAAAAAGCCTAAGCTGCACGAAAACCCTAAACCCTAAGCCCCTAAACCACACCCTACACCCTAAACCCCTAAACCCTAAACCAAAACCTAAACCCTGAACAAAAACCCTGAACCCCGAAACCCCAAAACCCAAAGCCTAAATCCTAACCCCCTAAACCAAACCCTAGACCCCTAAACAAAAAGATGGCCTCCGACTCGAAGTCCTGGTTCCGCATGTTTTGCGGGTCAGCGGACCTCACCGTCCAACGCGGCCTGGCGCGCGTGTTGTCCGCAACCTGCGATGGATGCAGTTTGGGATAAGGCTCAGGGTTTGAGGGGCTTATAGGGGTTGTAGGGGCCTATAAGGGTGTAGAGTTTAGGGGCTTAGGCTCATGGTTGAGGGTTTTAGGGGTTTAGAGGTTTAGGGCTTAGGGGCTTAAGGGGTTTAGGGTTCAGGGTTTAGGGTTTAGGGTTTAGAGTTTTAGGGTGTAGGGTTTAGGGTGATGTTGCCTTGGGGCTGTCGGCTTCAGGCGAACTGCTAGCGTGGCTTGACAGCAACGACAAAACTTTCTACGACACCAAGGACGGCGACTGCCACCATCACTATCAGGTAGGCGGCAAAGCATCTCTGATCAACGTCCGTGACTTAAAGTTATATGTCTGTATCCTTGGTATATAAACATTCACTCATACTTCTTGTTTTGTAAGTTGGCGTCACAATACGTCCGACCTGTCCATGGCTAAGTACTGAGGCAATTCGTTTCTCAAAGCCCCTAAACCCCGCTGTTGTTGCTGTTGTTTCGATTACCGCAAGACCCAAACGCTCAGCATTACTATCGTTGACCTTGTTGTTGCATTTTCTCCGGCCAGCAAAAAAAGTCAACCTTTAATTGCGGTAGGAATGCACATACTCCAGAAAATACAAAAATCACCTACACATTCGGCAAGACACCCTAGGCCCCCCACCCGCTCGCCTTGGGTTGCCAAGCTGTTAGACAGTTGGACATAATTGCACCTAAATCTACTGTGTGGTCGGAAGATGAGTAGCAAATTCCCATGTAGTCCTTATATATGTATAGTAGTGGAACCCAAATTCCCCATTCTGATTATCAAAGGCACTCATGCTAAACCCTTATAGTAGCCCAGAATAGAAGCAACCTTCTCAAGGAAGCTATTCTAACCATTGAGGGCCCCCATATTATTCCGGAGGAATGTACACATCTGTCGATCTATCTGTGTATCGATTTATCTATCAATGGTACACAGTATAATATATATATATATAACATAAGACACTATAATAACCTATAATATACTACAACAGAATACAATACAATAGAATATAATATAATAAAAGACACTTTGATATACGACAACATAATATAACAGAACATAATAATAAAATGTATTATAGTATAATATAATAATACAATATAACATAATGAACTATCGAGGGCATCAAGGATGAATCAGTGGCTACTCACTGTCAAAGACAGTGGGTTCGACAGGTGATCTATTCGGGATGAGAAGCACCTGAAGGAAGTAAAGACCTTGGTCACCGAACAGAAGGTTCCAAAGGTCGCTACCCCCACAGTTCCCTACTCCCACTGTTTCAGCCTTTCAGCAGGTCGGCACGGATCTGAGAGCGGTATGCCGCCGCTGGAAAATCGTGAGACTCTAGGAACCATGTCTGGGCACGCGACCAAGTGTCGAGGAGGCCGTCTCGTGAGAGGCCATCACTGGGATTCGAATCTGAATCGATCCACTCGAACCAACATCTGCACTGTAATTTCGCCCTGAGGAGTGCAGACATATGTGCAATCTCAAAAACATCCTCTTCAGCGCTAGCAGCCTTAACCGCAGCAGCTACAGCAGCCTGGTTGTCGATGAACCATAAGAGATCACGGCCTCTGAGGACGTCCGGGAGCAGCATCGGGAGGATGAGAAGGCACAATGCTTCACCAGGGAAGATCTGCTGCTTGCGAGGGACCCACTCCTCCAGCACAGCTTGAGGCACAGCGCAAGTACCTCCAATCGGCTTGAGAGGTGGCTGTGCAAAGACAACCCACCCGAGTCGCAGCTGGTTTGAGGCGTCAGTATACACCAAGGTGGAGGGCAGAGGCGGCGCCCAAAAGAATATGTCTCGGGGCATAGCCATGTGCGCCATCTCTCGCAGTGCCCGAAGCACCAAGAGATCCCGGTGATCCAACCGAGGATTGTCGCCATACTGGCACCACTGAAGCACAGGTCCAGCAAAACGAACCGCTGAGCCATTGCAGCTGGCAAAAAGCCATTGCAGGTCACCTCGAAGTTTGCCCGCCTCGTCTCGGGACAGCGAAGCAGATTCCAAAGCCGCGTCCAGCTTAGCGCAGACTTTCTGCACCGAGGAAGTTTTGGGCTGGACGCGCACCACTCCCAAAGAGCTGGCACATCCCACGTGGACAGACGTGCCAAGGTAGCACCTGTCAGCCGAAGCCCAGAAGCGCTTGGAAGGCTGAGGCGGCGAGCCCATGAGGGAGAAAACCAAGTGGAGGCCTCCTTGGGAAACATCGGCATCGCGAATGAACTCCAGGGACAACTCATCGTCGAAGTAAGCGGCCGTGAAGGCGGAGACCATGCGTCGGCAGGCTGCAATGCCCAGCAGGGGCATCCTGTTGAAAGCAACTACAGCAGCCTCCAAACCATATGCCAGCAGTCCCCACAAGATCGTGAAGTTCCATCCAGAGCCCGGGACCCATATGGAAACCACACTAAAGCGAAGTTGATCATCATCGACCGGGTGGCCCCTGTAGGCATCAGGAAGATCGTCTGTGCCCAGGCGCACCGCCAGCCACTCGCATGGTGGGGGAACAGCATCAGAGCAAGTAGGGAAGAGGGTCCGAAAGACATCCCGGACGCAGCTTGCGACAAAGTCCACACTCACAGTATGAATGGTCTCCAGCATGTAGGTATGGGCATTATGACCGGTCTTTCGGGCATTATCGATGACCCTTTGCTTCCCATCCGGCTGAGCGATGACAAACCGCTCAAGAGGCCTCCAGCGGCCACGCCCAAATCGTTTGTCCACCTCTGCTCGAGACATAAGCGGGCTGCAAAAAACTTTTTGAATTTCTTCGTGTGTGACCTTCAGGATGACATCGTGATCCTTGGGAGGGCCCTTTGTCAAGAGGTCATCCACCACTGAAGCGCCCTCTCGGTGCAGCCACTCGTCGGGCTCCTCCGTGTCATCTGCGATGCCGGTGAGAGCACGGAACACGCCTGAGTACGGGACATCTCCAACGATAGGAAACCCTAAAACAAAGCTCTGGGCCTGCGTTAAGTCAGGCCAGCGGAGTAGGGCAGTCACCGCAGCAAGAAAGGCAGGGTTTTTCTGAGGAGCAACTTTCTTAGCCGAATCACAAAGCAGCTCAGACAAAGCTTTCTGCAGTGGCGCGACAGCCTTAGAGATGCTCTTCAAGGCACCAAGTTGACGCTGCGCCAGGAGAGGCAGGTCAGGCCCCCACACGCCAAAGTTTCGCACAAGAAAGCTATATCTTCTTCAGGCCAAGGTTTTGGGTCGAACGGGGAAAGGAGACACATGGCTTCCGCAATATGCTCCTCCTTACCTAAACCCGGCGGCAACAAGTGATCCAAACCCTTACTAGTATCCGAAGCATAACGCTGGCCCGAATTGCCAGCGAAGATCGTGGCTCTGTCACGGGCAAGCAGTGGGCGGGGCGGCAAGTGTTGCCACTGCTGACCTCGGCTTCGCTGAAATGCAGTGAAAGCTTGAGGGAGCCACAGGTTGCAAGTCGCAAGGTTTTGGCCTACCACGGACCAGACACTATCGCACACATGCACCTTGTCAACCTGAAGCCTCATGACCTCTAAGACCTCAGATGGCCCTAGGAGCCCCGGAAAGTGTTCCAAGTACCCCGGCTCCCACAAAGTATGCTCAAGTTTCGCCCGCAGCTCATGTTTGGGGCTGAAACGAGACAGCACTGACAGCACTGGCTTAGCCTCACTGATGGAAAGAAGCATGCACATGAGGCACATGACACAGGGTAAGTGGAAACCATTGCCCAGCAAGGAGTTTCGCACCTGGGAGCATTTGGGCTCGGGATCAGACACGGCCGCAACTGCAGAGGGCGGGATGCCCATCATCATAGCCCTCTCGTCCGGTGATGGCACCCGCCAGGAGGAGTTTCTCCACAGGAGGCTACGCCGGAGCTGGAAATCTTCGAGCATCAGCCTCAAACCGAGCAGTTGCTGCTGCAGACAATCCTGCCACATGATCGGCAGGATGATCAAATTCGCGGCTGAACACAAAGAACGGCTCGGCATGGCCTCTCAGCACATCAGCTGCACTCCGAAGAGGTGCAAAACCTTGTTCAAAGAAGACGCGCTGCGGCACGGGCTTAGCTCCTGAGTATTTCAGGCACCCACTGAAAGGAGGCTCGCATGCTTGCCACTGCCAATCATCAGGTGGTCGGTGCTGCGGACCTAGACCCCCCCTGCGACTAGACACCCAGAAAGCCCTTCTACGAGAAACCCAGCCACAGGACGCTGCATCGAGGAGGATGGGCTTTGTTTGCAACCGCTGACTGTATCGCTCAAGCACCTCAGGTGGTGACGAGGCCACATTTTCCAGGAATGCAAAGACATCCATCCCTTTAGTAGCCGGGCGCTCGCGCAAATCATGCACCAAGGATGCAAGCAACGCTGGTTGCAGTGAGCGATCATCGGCCAAACCCAGCCGTTGCCTGTTCAAGGCGCTGTTGCCCTGGCAAGGACTACCTCCTCCTACAATAATGCCCCGAATGTTGCGCTTCGCCAAGAAAGGAAGCAATGCTGAGACTGTTACATCCTCAACATCGTTGACATGAACGAGGCTAGGCGTGACAGCCTGAGCGCACTTGCGGGCTGCCGGGTCCTTTTCAGCAGCAATTGCGTAAAACTGAAATCCCAAAGAGAGCAAAGCCAAGCACAACCCGCTAAAACCAGCCCATAAATCGATCACGAGCCACATGCCCTTGGGCGGGCGCCCCCAAGGCACCTGGAGTAGCTCACCAGCTCCACGCCACACGACCGGGCGAGCGGCTGCCAACTGTGATGCCACATCACCTGATCCAGGGCTTTCCTGAAAGACACGACGAGCGCTGTCGGTTGGCTCAGCGGCGGCTGAGCTTGCGGACATAGAAATCACTCTCGCTCTGCGGGCAGCGGGCGGGGTAGGTGGTCTAGGGGCGGCGGGTCGCAGGGGACTACTTACCGGAAAACCCAACTCAAGCAAGCGGCTATGCAAAGCAGGCCTGTCGAGAGCTTCAGCTCCTTTGGGAGTGTAGCCTGTAATAACCCACCTAAACCCTGACCACTCCGAACTTGCATGCCAGGCGCCCGGCGGGAAAAGTACCGCCTTCGTGCATGAATCATGTACGCAGCCTGGCATCAAGTTGCCACGAGGTGGGACAGGTCGGGAGCTCTGGCCGCCCTCTTGGGCGATCCACAGACCGCCCCCGCTGTCCTGGCCCAAAGAGACAAGAACGTTGACCGAAGACTCCTCATTCTTGGAATCGCGATGAGGGGCGGTCGCCACATTTGCTGACACAGCCAAGGCCCACCAACACAAAAATAATCGGTCGTAGGAGCATTGCCTAGTGTACCACCACGGCGGTTCGACACTGGATGCTGAAAAGCACGGCACAAGATGCCCACACAAGTTTTCTCGGAAAAATCACGACTCTGCAAGGCTGTAGACGCCAAGTCCTCAGCCGGCAGAAGCTGTGGTGTGGGGGTCTCATGCACTGGATCGGACGAAGCTTCAACCCCCCCTGCGGCTTGCACAACCGTAAAGGGTGCCAGCAACTGCCCTGACACCTTAGGGAAAACACCCTCGCGCACAAAAGAAGGAAGGTTTGCAGTACTGAGTGCTCCAGTGACCTTAGTCGCGGCAGGGGGGTGCGGAGTAGCTGCACCTGGAAAACAAGTAGCCCCAGCTTCCAAAGCTGGCGCATCTGTTGCAGCAGAGTCTGAGCTCGCCGAATCTTGCTCCGGAGAAGAGGCCCCTAGTCAGGCCTGCTCCAAGTGGTTCAAGCGATTGTGGTCCTTCGAGCCACAGCCCTTGACATCACACACATGGGCAAGCGGGCACTTGCGGTCACGGCAGCCCCTGGCATCTTTGAAGGCTTTGCAGACCTTCAAGCCTCCCTTGAGCATCGTGATGGTCTGCAGCCTCGAGCCCTTGGGAGGAGAAGGAACCGCACCCCCTTCGATCTCAGATGCCTTGCGTTTCTCGCCGAGGCGCTCGACCATGGCATTGGGATTGGGAGCTCGCCATTCCAGATGACACTCTGCAAGCGATTCTCGAAGTGCATGGCCCGCAAGATATCCTCGCCGCACCTTGGACGCCATCTTGCCCCTGGTCATCATGTCGTTGTGGAAGAGCCACGAAACGGAACCATGGCCGTACTGAGGCACCCATCCGCGTAGTCGATGCCCTCCGTCAAACTGAAAAACTTCGCCTCGCAGGGCCTCGCGGCCGTCGAGCCCCTTCGCGATGAAGTTCCCGCAGAACGCCCAGGCATTCATAAGGGTGCGGAGGCCGAAGTTATAGCCGACGACGTCCTTGATCGGGGCATCCATCTCCCGGGCGAAGGACAGGCTGAGAGCCCCCCTGGACGTGTCCTGCAACTTGACCGTCTCGGATGATGACGGAGTGCTCTGAGCCAGCAGACTCTTCACCCGCTTCACTTCAATCACCGAGAGGCTCCGCTTCGAAAACTCGCGCCAGATCCGGCCCCTCAGAGCATCCGAAGGCTCCAGATGAGCATCAAGAGTGATCCGGTAGGTCTGGTCCCAGTCACGTTGCAACTGAGAGAGCCTGCCCTCTGGGATAGGCTGCTCGAGATCCTCGGAAGTGCCGATGCTCACCTGCTTGGTCGCCTGCAACACGTCCATACCAGCCCTGTAGGCACTCTTGAAGCGAGCCAAAACCAGCCTGGACTCCTTCAGTTCCGGAATAGCTGTAAGAAGGCCCTCCAAGGAACTTTCCCACTTCTCCCAGTGGACCAGATAGAGGAAGTCCTCAAGGGATGCCGGCTTGTGGACCCGGATGAAGGCCCAGTCATCCTGCACATTGGCCGCCTTGAGGCAGGAGCTCAGGCCCCTGTCACTGGCCTCCAAGTCGATAAGGAAGGCGAGAGCCATGATGAACGAAAGGCATCTCTGCGAGCACCAAAATCTGCACAACCAAGCGGGTCTAGGGTGCACTCACCTACAAGCGCTGGGACATCAGGGCACATGAAAGCGACTCGTCACAGTGCTGAGGCTGGATACGACTTTCATACACAAGCTTCCGCGCGCGGTGGCTTTAGGTAGGATTCCCTGGCCTGGAATCCAAGGCTCAGGAGAACTCCCATCTATCAGCCCCACCCTGCGTCGTGGCAAGGTCGGCAAAAGTGATCACGGTGGCGGCCTGACCGCTTGCAGCGCCTATGGCATGCAGGGTTAGCACACCGCAATTGACACTTAATGCGCACCGTGGGCCCCGGTTCAGGTGATACTGAGGGGAAGGATGGCGACGGGGACTCCCGGGTGGTAGCATTACCGCTCGAGGCTGTAGTCTGCTGCAAAGCAAACGTCTGGCTGGCGCATTCCACGCCGATGGATTGTTGTTGGCACGCTGCTGGAGCTCCTGCCTGCAGATCTGAACAACTTGTTGAAATCCAACCGTGCTCATAGATCAGTCGTCATGCCATCATTGCAGCTAGCTTACGTACAAAATCCCCGCAGACTCGAGCTAATACTTACATGACACGTTTGATGCACCCAAAGGCTCATGCACACCAACGCCTCAGCGCGAGTCACTGGGTCCATGCAGCACGCATGAGACAGCACAGTTTTACTCCAGCTGCTGACGTAAATGCTTAGCTTGTGGCCCAGGCATCCGGCCCAAGCAGCGGGAGCACCAAGCATCAGATGCCGTCTGGTCGACACCTACGCCCCTTGCAACTGGATCCTGAACAAATGCACTCTCACGGCACCACGGAATCAAGCGGCCGGCTGGGTCCAGCTCACGGATGATATGCCGCTTGCTTCCCTGAAGAAACCACTCAGGTTCTGCATCCTCATCAGCCACGCAACTCTCGCCCGAAGACTCCTCCCCACAGGAAGAGTCTGAAGAAGAGTCACCTTCATCGGCCAAGGCAGGCTCAGGCTTAGCACTGCTGTTCACTGCAGAAGAGGCGGCAAGCTGGCCTACCTGCGGCCACAACAAGCAACCGGGCTTGAGCAAACTAGTGCCCTCAGCCCGAGGCCAGGAGCCAGTCTTGAAGACTGCCAACACAGCATCAACCACTTGCTGCTTTGCCTGCCAGCTTGACTGCACCTTAGCCCCCGCATAATGCCGGGACATCGGTTGGCTGGCGCGTTGCTTTTGAGAACTGCCCCCTGGGAGCTCAGTCCAGGAGCCGATCGCCTGGGCCTCCGCCTCGCCAAATCCTAAGTGGTGGGCTCCTGTGGGCATACAACGACGCAACCTGTTGTAGCCTGCCTTAGAGGATTCATCTGCGGGCACCAGGGCTCGGCACAAGAAGCCCCGAAAACACTATTCCTGGACAAACGACGATTCAGGAACTCCGAATCGTCAGCCAGCTGCCACAGGTCCGAGGCCCGAAGATTAATAAGGGCCGGCCACAGAAAGGTAGCGTCCTTGGGATGCGAATGCTCCAGGTAGCGGAGGAAAGTCTCGCAAAGACTGAAGCCTGAAAATCAAATATCACACATGGCCCAATCATTATGCAGGCCGGGACCCTTTAACACGTGACTTACCCATGGAACAGCGAAACTCCAGCCACATGGGTGGGCCCTGGTGCACACGAATAAACACTGATCTCTGAAAGTGTCTGAAGCGGATGCATGACACAGCGCTGCCCAACACAAAGCAACCAGTCACCTGAGCAGCTCCAGACAATTCCGATGTAACCGCCACAAGGTTCAACAGCACCCAAGGTTGGAGCTCCGGCGCCTGTTGACTCTTATGTCCCTGCTCGTGGCACCGGAAAGGCCGAGTCACAAAACTGTCCAGCGGAAAAGTCCCGCCCAAGTGCTTATTACACCAAGCCAAAGCACTAAAAACCCCACTAGCAGCAGTTGGTCCTCCAAAAGAGACCTTCTTAAGAAAGGCTGCCAACTGTGCAGGGCTGGGGTTTGCCAAGGAACAGGCCTGCTCGTTAGCAGCCTTAATCCAACGACGCAAGCAGGAGGTGACTTGCGAGAGGTGGCCAGAGCTACACCGGCCAGCAGAAGACATGATCAGACTCTCAGCAGTCGCCACACTAGACTCGTCGTCCCAGTCAACAGGCGGCATGCCTAGAGCCTCGAAGTCAATGAAGTGATCCGCGGCCAGTTTGAAGAGCTCCCGCAGCTTCTTTTGAACCACCGGAGTTCGCACTGGAATGGTCACATCATGTACCACCGGCAGGCTAACATGTGAGGACTGTCGCCAGGGTATCAAAACTTTGGCACGTTTCGTAGGGCGAGCACTGACCCGAGGCTGCCAAGACACGACATCCTTCCGTGTCGCGTCCCTGGCGGCAACGATATGTCTCACTGCCTGGCCTTGCTCCAAAGCTGCTCTGGCAGAGCATGTCTGATATAAGTCCTGCATGTAAAGGATGTCTTCGCGTGTCACACCAGCAACAGACTCCAGCTCACACATGCACTCGTTGGCGTCTGACCATAATCAACGGACACCGCTACAAGACATGACTCCCAGCTCAGCCATCCAAGCTTTAAGCACCAAGCGATCTCCAATCAGCTCAATCAAGCCAGCATCCATGGCTCGGAAAAACTAACCTGAGCTGTTGGAGTCCTCGGGCCCAAAAGCTACAGGTCCAGATGCCTGATGAGTTCATGCTGCAGAATAAGCCCTTCCCAACCAACCTACGTTTCTGCACACAAACAATGTAATGCAATACTATATAACATTATGTCACATGATCTAGAATATAGTATATAATAAAACAAAATAAAAATATACAATACAATACAATATCATATAATACAATACAATAGAATATAGTATTAAATTACATGGTATATACAATTATATATATCTATATATATATATATAAGTGAATGTTTGTATTCGACAAGGAGCCGTATCGAGGATCTTCATGGCTGCCTTCTGCTGCGCTTTCCACTTTTGGGCGACATGGCGCATCTGCACCCAAGTGACAATGGAGACGAGGCCGATGGCGGGAGTAATCAATGCCTGGGCTTAGGGTTTAGGGTGACAACGGAGACGACGCCGATGGCGGGAATAATCAATGCCTGCTTGGATGATCATGGGACTTAGTAAACTTTTATGTTGAAGTACCTTATTTGGGGCTCTAGCTCTAAGTGACGAAAAGCATAACTACCCTATACTGAGTACACCAGTTGTCAACTCTAACCATCCTTTGAGTGGGACTTGGGACCGGAGGGTGGGGGTTGTGGGGCTTGAGGGGGTTTGAGGTGTTGGGCCGGGACTTTAGGGCGTCGGCTTTTGGGTGGCGGCATTGAGGGCTGGCAGGGTTTATTCAGGGTTTTCGGCTTGGGCTTTGCATGGGAATGGGATGCGCCCATCTACCATCCCCAGAAAACCTACCTAATTAAGCAACACCCCTTTATGAAATACTATAACTACCCTAAGGAAAGCAAAAAAACAAGCAAACACCAAAAAATCGTAGATCCTGCAGCAAATACCAACAAATCATCTGCCGAGTGGCTGAGAGAAGGCCAGGCGTGGACATCGAAACCAGGCCAAAGCCTTCGAACATCTTGGCCCCTGCCTGCAGGCTCTTTAGGAATTGAGGGGTTTAGGATTTTAGGGTAAGGGTTAGGGCGTTAGGGCTTATATAGGGGTTAGGGGTGTTCGTCAAATTAGGGTCCCTCTCGGGCTTCCACAACACAGGGTGCCGAACTAAGAGTGGAGTTATGTATAGGGGTCATGATTCTGATAGTTACCCATGTAGTTTAAGGCTCTAGAAGTTAAGGGTTTAGGACCTTACAGTAGCATCGTCCATAAAAGAAGCCAGAACCGAAACAAGCAAACGCGAGATTAGAATGGACTCAAGAGCCATACATCTGTCCCTTACAGAAAGCCGCTATAGGAACCCTTGAAGGAATCCTTAACCCGGGTCTAATCTTGCTGGTTCTCTATCCTAAACCCAAAACCCGATGCCCCTAAACCCCTGAACCGCAAAAACCTTATAGATCTCTTTCAAGACAAGGAACCCTTAAATTTAAAGGAACCCCAAACCGCCCAAAACCCTCAACCCCTGAACCCTCGACTCGCCTCTGAGCCAGTTCCATACTCATCAGAAAGCTCCAGATTCCTCAGCTTCTTCTGGTTGAGCTTCCCGAAGCATCGGTTTAAGGTTTGGGGCTTAGGGGTTTAGGGGGTCGGGTGTGGTGTTGAGGGTGGCCCAAAAATCATGATGATACAGCCGTATTCTATGGTTTTTGAAGGTTCCTGAAAAGCAAACAAGACTGCTCTAGAGGCCCAGAGAGATGCTCAAACTGTATCGTTTTATGGCTTCAGAATATGGGCGATCACAACAGTCTGGGTTCTGCAAAGGTAGTGCAAGGGTTCCATCGGGGTTTCCATAGGGTTTATTTAGGGTTTAGGGTTTAGGGAGAGGGTGTTCAGGACTTAATGATTTGGGCTTTTGGGGCTGCGGGGTCGAGGGCATCGGTGGACACAGAGCTCATGCACCTGCCCCTTCTCTAGCAGAAGCAGCAGAAACATGCGACCCCGCGACACCCACAACTAAAACTGGTTCCATGTTGGGGCAATATTAAGAATGATCATGTTTGATCCTTGTTAGGTTTTATTAGAACCATGTAAAATTGTATCCAACAAGGACCCAGAAAACACCCCAAACCGTAAACCTGAAACCCTATATCATCAAACCCACATGAAAACCTTAAACCCCAAACCCCTAAGAGCCCAGGTTCAAGAGGAAGCCGAGGGAGATGGTATAGAGAAGAGGCAGCCAGAACCGAGACCACTTGTCGACGGCCTTTGACCATTCCAGCCACTTTTCGCAAAAACCCTAAAGCCCAAATCCTAAGCCCGAAAATCCTAAACCCTAAAAACTCCTAAACCCTAAAACTCCCTAAACTCTAAATCTACCCAAATCCTAAACCTCCCCAAACTCCCTACACCCCCCTAAACTCCCTAAACCCCCTAATCTCCCTAAACCTCCCTAGACTCCCTAAACCTCCCTAAACCTCCCTAGACCTCCCTAAACCTCCCCCTTCCTCAACCAGACTCCCTAAACCCCCATAATCTCCCTCAACCTGCCTAAACCTCCCTAGACCTCCCTAGACTTCCTAGCCTAAACCTCCCCAATCTCCCTAAACCTCCCTAATCTCCCTAGACCTCCCTAAGCTCCCTAAACCTCCCCAATCTCCCTAAACCTCCCTAATCTCCCTAAACGTCCCTAACTCCCTAAACGTCCCTAACTCCCTAAACTCCCCTAATCTCCCTAAACCCCCCTAATCTCCCTCAACCCTAAACCCTAAACCCTAAACCCTAAACCCTAAACCCTAAACCCTAAACCCTAAACCCTAAACCCTAAACCCTAAACCGCGGCCTTGGACCACTTCAGCCAGTACGTATGGCAGCGCTTGGCGTGGCGACTTTGGGAGCTCATGTAATTCTCCGCTCCGAGCCTTTTCAAGGGGCTTTAGGGTTTTAGGGTTTTAGGGTTTAGGGTTTAGGGTTTAGGGTTTAGGGTTTTAGGGGGTTTGGGGTTCAGGGCTTTTAGGGTTCAGGGGGTTTAGGGCTTAGGGTTGACGCCGTTTAAGGTGTAGGGCTTGGGGCTGAGGGTTTAGGGTTTAGGACGTTTAAGGTTTAGGGTTTGGGGTTGAGGGTTTAGGGTTTAGGGGGTTAAGGTTTAGGGTTTGGGATTAGGGTTTTGGGCTTAGGGGTGTTAGGGTTTAGGGTTTGGGGTTTCAGGTTTTGGGTTTACAGGGTTTTGGGGGAGCAGGGTTTGAGGAAGTTAAAGGTTCACTTAAGCCCCTCTGGGTTCTGTGTAATTCTGCGCTCCTAGCCTTTCTTGGGGAATTTTCGAGTTTCGGGTTTGGCTAACGGCTCCTGGGCCTCTGTTGGGGAAACGCAAGGGCTGCAAGGGTTGAAGGCTTTAAGGTTAGGGGTTATTCTATGTACTCTCTCGTCCTATTCCTAGGCATTTTTTGTTTTAGTTAGTAAGGGCTCCTTTAAGGGCTCCTGTCTGGGTTCTGTGTGGTTCTCTGAAGCCCTCATTTTCAGACCCTAAACCCTACCCTAAACCCACAACCCTAGACCCTCAAACCCTAAAATCTAACCTTCTAAGTCTCAGAACGCTCTTTGAAGGACCATTTTCAGGGCGATTTTCAGGGTCACACTTAAGTCTCCACGCCGCGCCGCTCTTGAGGATAGGTAAGGGCTGAAGGGCTTCGGGGTTTCAGGGTCTTAGGGTTTCGGATTTAGGGGTTTAGTTTTTGTTTCAAAGTTTGCTTTTGGGCTTCGGGTTTATAAAGGGTTTAGTTTAGGGTTTCGGGTCTTGGGCTTAAAGTCTCCAAATGCTAAACCCTAAGCCCCAGCATCCTAAAGCAGAAAAAAAAAACCTAAACCCGGAAGCCCAGACCCTAAACCCTAAACCCTCAACCTTAAGCCCTAAACCCTAAACCCCTAAACCCTAAACCCCAAACTGTGAAGGTCACCTGTCGATTTGACTCCTCTTGTTTCTCGGATCCTCGGGGTTGTTCCGGCAGGAAGCTCTTACGGTGCAGGGTTTAGGGTTTAGGGTTTAGGGTTTTTTTGTTTGGGGTTTAGGGTTTAGGGTTCAGGGTTAGGATTTAGGGTCTACCAAGCAATACCATGAAACCATCATAAAACCGAATACAGCCATGTAATATAGGGGTGTTAATAATTCGAATAGGGTTTTGGGGGCCCATTATACTATACTGATAATAAGGAGCCGCCAGACTAGTATAGGTAATTATTTAGGCCCCTATATTAGGTAAGGAACCGCCAAAGTAGCATAGATAATTATTTAGGCCCCTATATTAGGTAAGAAGCTTGATCTCCTTGAAGGGAATCGTCCACATCAGCTCCACACAGATCCTTGGCTGCTCAGCGCTCCTTTTATGCCTTGTCTGGGTTTAGGGTTTAGGGTTTAGGGTTAAGGGCTAGAGCTTTCGTCAGGATTTTCATCTAGGGTACGTAAATATACCATTCCGGGTTGAGGGCGTTTGGGCTTTGGAAAGGGGGTCGGTAAGCTGGTGATACGGCTAATGCCCACTTAGATCCCATAACCCCCTCTGTAAGTTGCCAAACATTGAAGTGCTTCTTTTTGGTTCCGGGATTTGGGTACCTATCAACCCATTTTAAAACCTGAAGGACAATGAACAAGTTAAAGGTCAAAACTCAAGCAACGCCAAATCCCGAACCGTTGAAGCAAGCAATTAACCTAAACCCTAGACCCTAAACCCCTAAACCCGAAACCCCTAAACCCAAAAACCTAATTCCAAAGCCCTACTAAGCCCTAAACCCTCAACCCTAAACCTTCAAGCCTGATCCCTAGACCCTCAACCCTATCCCTGAACGCCTAAACCCTACACCCCTAAACCCCTAAGCCTTAAACCCAAAGCCATAAACCTTAAAGCCTGATCCCTAAACCCTAAACCCTACATCCCTGAACCCTAAACCCTAAACCCCTCAATCCTGATCCCTAAACCCTAAACCCTATCCCTGAACCCTAAACCCCTAAACCCTAAACCCCTAAACCCCTAAGCCCTTAACCCCTAAAGACCTAAACCCTGATCCCTAAACCCTAAACTCTGATCCCGAAACCCTCAACTAAACAACTAAACCCTAAACCCT